CCTATGATGACACTTACAGGCCTCTCTCATCTTTTTAAGTGGGAGAACTTGCACAATTGGTGGCTGACTAAATACTTTTTTGCCCCACTTTTTTTCCCATATAGTGGAAAGAGGAAGGTTGAGAGTTCACAAGGTTGATACTATATGGAACAAAAGTGAGACTGAATCTGGATGTTCTGTTTTGGTTACCCAGAATCCTCCTCCCAGAAGGTAACAAGGAAAACAGGTTATGAAATGGATGTGTAGTGTCCCAGACAATATTGCGGACCCTGCTCAAGCAATGCTTATATGCTATGTCCTGGATTGAAGGAAGGGAACTGCCAATAATGTTTTCTGCCATCCTCACCATTCTCTGCACAGCCTTTCAGTCTGAAGCAGTAATGCTTCCAAACCAGACTGTAATGACAGAATGCTCTTGATCAAATGTTGGTTGTCATTTTTAAACTGCTACATGATACATAGTAATGTGCAGGGCTGCCTGTTTTCAGTGGTGTCACAGTTCTGGCAGGTTGGGAAATTCTGGATCCATTTTGTGAAAGAATGATACCGAGTGGGATCCTGGACATATGTCTTCTGTACTGTGAAGCTTCTTTTCAAAATTCAGATGGTCCCAACCATGTGGACTTTCTAGAATCTTTTTTTTTTATTGAAAATTTTTTAAAAGTTTTACAAATAAACAACCAACCCTCACCCAATCCCTCCCAAACACCCCCCTCCCTCCCCCCTCCCCGAGCTTCCCAGAACTGAATACAGGCTTATTTAAAATTTTAAAAAACCTAAACAAATTTTTACAACTTATAAAATGATTAATAATAAAATATATATGACCTAGGCATTGAAAAGAAAAATACTTAAAAAAGAAAGAAAAAAGAGAGGAAAAAGAGAGAGAGAAAGAAAAAGAAGAAGAAAGAAAGATAAAAAAATAAAAGAAAAAAAGAGAAGGAAGAAAACAAAAGACGGAAAAAGAAAAAAAAACAATCTATAAAATATCAAAATTTTTTATACAATTTATGAAAAAGCTAAATGATATTTTTCCATATCCAAATTATATTGTATAAAATTTATCCATTTTTCCCATACAACAAAAAATTTCTCTTGAGATTGCTCCTTTAAGAAAGCCGAAATCTTTGCCATTTCCGCCAAATAAGAAACTTTATAAAACCACTCTTGTAAGGTAGGCAAAGATTCCTTCTTCCAATATTGTCCTACTAACAGCCTTGCGGCTGTGATCAAATTTAACATCAATATAACTTCCTTAGCATCACAATCCGTAACAATACCTAATAAAAATAATTGCGGGGTAAATTTTACCCTCCTTCTAAAAATTCTTTGAATATTCCACCATATCTTAATCCAGAAAGCTTTTATATTGACTTTCTAGAATCTTGAAGACTTGGTTCCTTCTTCAGTCATTGGGGCTAGAATATTGGTGGAGTCCTTTAATGGAGGTGGAAGTTGTTTAATTCTTACATGCCTTGTAAGAGACTCAATTGATTTTTAAATGATGTTTCCAATGGTGTTTATATTTTGCTTTTATATATACTTTATTAGCTGCTCAGATATATTTGTGTATGGATGGGAAGCTATATAAGTTTGCTAAATGAATACAGATTTAAATACTAATAGGATTAGATACCTTGTTCTATTCATGTGACAAAGCATTAAGAATTATATTGAGACTTTGATTACTACTTTTCAAGGGAAGACTCCTGAAGTTGGGCAAAGATTTTTTAGAGCAGGATGGGACAATCTGGAGAATGATGGATATTTTGGTAGAAAGTTCAAGATCCCTGTTTGCGTGCAGTGGTGACAGGGTCCTAGAATGCTCCTTCTCAGCTCAGTGAAAGTGTTCTCTTCCCATCTCTGAACCTGCATACCTTTCCCCCAGTGTGGAGGAGGACATAGATAAATCCATACTGTCTAAACAATGGACAGGCATGGTAATGGTGGGATTATACAAGCCAGATCTCTCTATCCTGCACTGTCATATGCACCTGCCTTCTCACAAGTCCTCTGCTGATGGAACTGCTTTTGAACATAGGCTTAACACATTTCTTGAATTGGAGATTGACTCAGAAGCCTGGGGTTTGAAATAAGCATTTAGTCAAGTAGCCAAGAAGTGCCAGGCAGCTTCCATTCCTCTGAAGTCACCTGATAGGATGAGCGATGAAGCATGCCACTTTTTTTTTCTTCAATAAAACTGCCGGTGTTTGTTGTATTTTCAAAGAAATAGTAAGATTGTCCTTTGAAGAACTTTTGAGTGCATTTTTGGCTTCCTTAAGTCTTTCTCTTTCCTTGGTCACAAATGAAGTAAGTCAGTAGAAAACTATTTTAGTCTTCATGATCTGTTCATTCCTTCACATCAACAATTGTGCTTTGAAGAGTCAACTTGCACTCTTTTCCACATCTGATATCCATGCCCAGATAGATAGCTCATACGATTATGTCTAATTAGAAGAAGTGTCTAATTGGGATCATCAATGTCATGATGGCTTTCTTGGCATGGACATTGCCTGATAGTTAAGTTATGCCAATCTGTGAATGGAAAACCCTTCCCTCTTCCATTATATACTTAACAATAGAGTTATATTTCCTTTTCTTTTCACTGAGACTGGCACATAATCAATTGCGTACATTCAGAATCTCATTTATTTGGGCCTCTGAAATCTACCTTTGTAAGTTTCTGTGCTATGTAGGGCTATTATAGAGAAATCACAGTTGGCCTTATCCCTCATTTACCTGCCTCAAGATGAGATGTGCAGATGGTGTATTTTTGTTTTAATTATCACTTTTTTTCCTCATCAAGCATATTGTACTTTTGATTCTCAATATCTATTTTTCTATTGAAAGAAAGCCACATCCTCTGTGAGGATCCTATCAGCATCTTTTCTTTGTTGGTGTATTTGTTTATTAGATTTATAAGGCCACCAACTCAAACAATGTAACACTAGCAGAAATACAATAAAAAAAGAATAAGCAATAAACATGACTCCTTCATGATAAGGGGCCAGGCTATTTTATGGACCGCCTCTCTCTGATTACATCAGGTCACCTCATCAGATGTGCTAGAACAGTGGTTCTTAACCTGGGCGATATCGCCCCCCCCCCAGGAAACACTTTTGAGACTTTTTCGTACAGTGAATCGCTGTATATCTGTTGTACAAAAACATCAGATCGCTTGCTATTAGTGGATTGAATTGTGTTTTCAAATGTTCCTCCAGCTAGCTTCAGTACAGAATGCCACATTTATGTGAATACGCATTTCTTATCTTCATGTGCGTTGTGCAGCAGCTTCTACTCTTTTTATATTTCTTTTTGCATCTTAAATTTCACTTGTAATTCTATCATTAAATATTACTGTTTTTCTTTTCGGGCATTTCACTTTCTTGCAATTGAATTTTGTTTTCAGTGGTCATTACATTTAAGTGTCTTGAATAAATAAGATAATAATGAAATACATGTATCACGAAGTTTGGGAATAAAGTGATGGGTGGCACCAAATTTTTTCATACAGTTGAGATATGGGAAAAAGACTGGAAATAAATTATTTGCATTGATATGTCCTGATGACAATTTTAAAGAAAACAAAAAAAGTGTTTGCATAAATTGAAGAACTTTTTCCTATGTGGTGATTGAGAGGTTATGTTGGGGGAGAGGGGCGATGACAATTTCATCATTGGCTCAAGGGGGCGATTCGTTCAAAACAGGTTAAGAACCATTGTGCTAGAGGATGCATGCTGTGGGACCATCAGATAGGGACATGTATTTAGTGGTTCCTATGAAATGTAACCTCTGATGTGTTATCCGGCTTATGGAACATTCTTCATCCCTAAAATTAGATGAGCTCTATCCTGTTTAATTCCTGAAGGCCCTCAAGAGTTGATTATGTCATCAGACCTGGGGCTCTCAGGGAATGGGAGACATGTGTAGATGGCTCTATTGCTGAGATGGCTAGTTTTACTCTCCCTTCACCTAGGATTTGCATTTCTGTTTTTATATTTATTGTTCATATGATTTGTATATATATTTATACCTGTGGTTTTTATCTGTGGTTTTACCTCTTTGTTGTGCACCACTGAGATTTCCCTTCCATGTGTGGTGGGTAGCTTTATAAATTCAATAAAAAATAAATAAAATAAGGGACAAGATAGCAAAGAAAGTGTGTTGACAATTTAATAAAATTGCGTAAATATTGTAAATTGAAGTAAAATTGCTAATAACAAATCACTATTTTGTTGAAATACCCGGGCAGAAAATGTTTCCGCCAGTAGAGAAGTAATTTGGATGGTCTGACTCATCATGTTTTATATCAGAGCATAACATTCTGAGGTGTTGGCATTTTCCAAAATTTTGAATCTGATCCCCATACCCTGAAATTTAAATTATGATATTAAAACGAAAATGTGTTGGAAAGATACATAAATACATAACTATAAATCATATTAGCATTTTATTGTAATTCAATATAAAGAAGATAAAATCTTATTTAATAAATAAGATTAATTGTGGATATCCTAGCCACTATATTTATAAATGTAGCTTTCAATTTATGGATCAAAGAAAAAGACGTCTTCATCCAGAAAAAATAGTGCACATTTTTTCCTTGTTATTGTGTGTTTGTGAAGTTTCTTACATTAAGAGCCCTGGTGACATAGTGTTAGAAGACAGTATTGCATACAAAGCCCAGTTTGATCTTGACTAGGTGCAAGGTTCGCTCAGCTTTCCAACCTTCTGAGGTTGGTAAATAAAGACCCAGATTGTTGGGGGCAATGTGCAAGTAATGCTTACATGGTAAACCGTGCCGAGAGTGCTGAAATTGCTATGGAGCTGTATACAAGTCTAAATGTTATTCCTTTCAAAAATGGAAGAAGACATCTATTCCTGAATAAAATTCTTTGACCAATCATCTGTTATGTTGTCTTCAGCCAAATTAGGAATTAGGGCAGCATTTACGCTGCACTTGAAACCACACTAGTCTTTTTCCTAACTAGCTGCTCTCTGGCATTCAGCTCTGGTCTCAGCATGATAATATAGCACTTGGGCATAAAAATGCAACCTAATAAGCCACCACTTGAGGCCAAGATAGAGAAGACCTCCACAGCCACCATGGATTTCCCCTTAGTGCTTAAGTAGGTTGGCACAAAGGAGACCCAAACACTGCAAAAGACCAGCATGCTGAAGGTGATGAGTTTGGCTTCATTGAAACTGTCGGGCAACTTCCGGGCAAAGAAGGCCACTATGAAGCTGATGAGGGCCAAAAGCCACATGTAGCCCAGCACAACATAAAACATGATCTCTGAGCCTTCGTTGCATTGCACTAAGATCTCATCCAATTGGGAATGCATGTCCAACTCTGGGAAAGGAGGAGAAAGGGTCAACCACACAGCACAGATGCTTGTTTGAATAAATGAGCAAAACACAATGACTATCCACCACCTCATGCGGTTCCCTGGCTTTGTGGCTATGAAGGCCAGAACCACAGTGATGGTTTTGGCTAACACACAAGATACTGCAATGGAGAAGACAACTCCAAAAACTGCTTGCCGGAGGAGACATGTGACTATCCCTGGGCATCCGAGGAAGAAGAAAGAGCAGAGAAAACACAGCAGGAGTGAGAAAAGCAAAGTGCAGGTGATATCCCAAGTGTTGGCTTTGACAATGGGAGTGTTTTGGTGGCGGATAAATGTCCCCATCACTACAATTGTGATTACAGCAAAAGAAACAGCAAAGCTAGTCAGGATTTCTCCCAGGAATTCTTCGTAGGATAAGTAGGCAATAATTTTGGGAATACATTGATGGTGCTTCTCATTTGGATATTGTTCTTCTGGGCACCTCTCACATTGCTTGGAATCTAAAAACCATAAATAAGATTTTTAAAAATTCTACACATTGAATTGATATTAGGTTTTAACAATTATTCTTTGCTGAAACAGTTTTTGGAATCTTCACAAATAAAAGTATGGTTGTATTCTGAGCAAGTTTCCATATTACCACTTGAATCTGATAAGTAGAATTGGCTTCATATAAAGAAAATAAACCTCTTTCAAAAATTGTGCCTTAGGAAAATCTTTTTAAAAGTTTATTTAATATGCCATATTTCTTGAAGAAGAGATTACAGACCTAAATAAAGAAAAACTTCTATTTAAAAAAAGAAGAAAAAAAACAAGGCAGGTGAGAGATCCCAATCAATCTATTCTTGTGTTTAAAATTATATTAAAAAACCCAAACTTGATTAGAGAATAATGTATTTTTAAAGAGATATTACCGTAGATCTCTTTTTCTTACCAACCAGGGTGGAAATGCTCCCCTCTGAACATTGGACACAGTCATAGCAGCAAACCTGTTTCCCCTCCTTAATTAATTTCCGGTACCCAGGATAGCAACTTTCTACACAGGTGGCAGAAGGTGGTGTCTAATGGGACTTGCAAAAGAAAATAATTAAAATTTTTAAATTCCTAGAACTGATTGCTAGATTCAGTTAGAAGAGAGGTGAACATCTTTTAACTGCTATTGAAAATTTGGATAGAAATCCCTTCACAACTCCTACATCATACATAAAGGAATTTGAAATATCCGAAGAGGGTCATAAAGGAATCTCTCACAAACTTAATGAGCTGTCTTAATTTGACAAATAATAAGAAATAAACTTATATGAGAAATGTTGAATTTCTAAGAATTTTGGTTGGTAATGACATCCATATTTAGTCTTCCTCACTTCCTTGAGCTGATGGCAAATATATTCCTGCCTAGCATTTGCTGTCCTTTTTTAATTATCTCTGTGTTGCATTGCCATTGGAGAATGGTGTCCTGATTCTCCATGTATAATAAATGTAGTCACAAATGAAGGCCAATATGTGTGTCCCAGGATAATATTGCAGGATCCAATCTGGGTCGGTCTCTGGGACCCGAGGTTGTATTACAAGCTTTTGGACTTGTGTTGGAGCCCATCTTCTAGGAACTTCTCTCTAACACAGTATGTGCTGTTCTGTGTGTGGTATTTATAGTACCTGTGATAAGTGGCTTTTTAGATGTCGATGGCTGGCTTTTAAGTCATTAGCGTGTGCTGCCCAGCCCTCACCTTTTAAGTACTAGGCTAAATGTAAATCATCACTCCTAATGACTGACAAGGGGACCAGGCTTCAATTACTTCCCTGGCTTTTTTTGTGCCTGCTTGTCCAACAATCTTAAAAGTTGAAAATTGAATGTGTATCCTTGTCCATTGCAGTGTGAGGCTACCAATGAGTTCGGGGCTCCTCATCTGATGAATGTCAGGAATTCATGCAGGAGAAACAGTCCTGCATGAACTAGAACACCATATATTTCATAACTAGATATCTAAATTCTGGTGCTGCTATGTGGATGAGATTTTTGTCATCATCAAGAGAAATGCTCTTAAAGATTTTCATGCCATTCTGAACTCCATCTTCCCCAACATACAGTTCACAATGGAGGAAGAAACAGTTAGGCAATTACCATTTGTAAACACAGAAGATGGAAGCCTAGAAACTACAGTTAAATGTCTATGGAGATTCTCAGTCATCCAGGTCATTGTTATCCCAAATACTTTTTTATGAGACAATAGGACTTTGTTGTTTTTCTTTGAAGACGTTTTGCTTCTCATCCAAGAAAAAGCAATAGTTGCTTGCATAGCTTTATGGGTGGGATTTCTAACTTTTTATTGGGGAATTGTTATGTATGTATGTATCCAGACTTGGTTTCAATCTTGACCATGCCGATACTTTGTAACTAATAAACATGTTCTCTAAGGAAGTTTCAAGCCTTGGAGTTCTGCTTTATTTGTCTCTGTCTGTCGGAACCATGACAGAATCATTACAGAAACAGTCCTGGGTGAGATAGAACACCATTCATTTCAGAACTACACACCTAAATTCTGGTGCTGCTACATGGATGAGATATTTGTCATCATCAAGAGAAATACACTTACAAATTTTCATACCATACTGAACTCCATCCTCCCTAATATACAGTTCACAATGAAGGAAAAACAACTAGGCATTTGCGATTTTTTGATGTACTTGTAAACACAGAAGATGGAAGCCTAGAAACTAGAGTTAAATGTTTATGGAGATTCTCGTTATCCAGGTCATAGTAATCCCAAAAATTCTTTTTTACAAGGCAACTGGACTTTGCTATTTTTCTTTGAAGACGTTTCAATTCTCATCCAAGAAGCTTCTTCAGCTCTTGGATGAGAAGTGAAATGTCTTCAAAGAAAAACAAGAAAGTCCAGTTGCTGCATGAAAAAGCATCTTTGGGATACCTAGAAACCACAGTTTATCACAAGGCCACCCACGCTCCACAATTCTGAATTTCAGCAGCAACCATCCACTGTCACACGAAAGGAGTTGCATCAGAACACTATAAGGCAAGGTGAAAAGCCACTGGAGTAACCAGCAAGACAAACAGTTGGAGAGCAGATACCTACATGAACAATTCAAGCAGAATGGGTGCCCACACTCATTTGTCATAAGATGTCTGTGCAACACAATGGGGAGAAAAAGGAAGAAAGAAGGTATAAGACCAACCACATGGCACAGCCTGACATACAGCATATCCAAAGCATTTCACAAGCAGTAGAATGCAGCTTCTGAGATGTGCAAGGGGGCATTCCCACCGCAGAGGCTATCATACAAGAACAAATTATGCCAATCAAGGAAGCAAATCCAGGTGTGGTGAGCGGAAGAGTTGGGGTGATGGTCAGTTTTAGTAGATGTCTAATTAATCTCTCCTATTCTGTGATGAGCAATACAATGGGATAGCACATTAGTTCAATCTTGCCTGTTTTCAAAATGCATAAGCATCACTGACTGCTGAAAAGCTATTCACTTCTCTAAAGCAGTAAATTTATTATACTTTTCCAAAGCACATCACTTGAAAAAACCACTATATCAAAATGGCGAGCAGCTGTCCCCAGATTTTTGAATTGGCTATGGGAAGGAAAAACTGTGAGTGGCAAGAGAAACATGCCCTGCAAAAATCCAGGGAGATGGGATGTGTAGGTTAGGCTGAAGTGGTAAATAGATTTGCTGATCTTTTTCATGCTTTGGTTCTGAAACTGATTCAACCATCGACTAAACAGTCAGATAAACCCATTAGTGGGAAAGTCCTCTGGACCCAGATGTTCCATAACCCCAGCCAGCAAAGCTCTCTTTCCCCACAATCTGAAAGTATAATGTAGAATTGAGAATTGTTTCATTTTTCCAGGATACAAAATTGTTCTAACATCATTAAAAGTTTTCAAATGATCTTGGAACAATTCTGAGTTTACTTGTTTAAAATTCCAGAAATTGAGAAAATATCACCATTTTAGTTGTTTTTTTAAATTTCACCTGCTTAAATTTGGGATTCCATACAATGGCAGTTGTATTAATGGTGAGGTCTTCCTTCTGAGAACTCTGAGGTTCAATATGGCCAACTTGGACCTTATGAAAGGATCGATTGGGGAAAGTAATCAAGTTGATGATATTGTATGCTGCTGCCAGGTTTCCATTCTCATTGAAAGCTATTTCTTCCCCAGCACTATTGTTGAAATGGAGTTTTGTCAGAAATAAACTAAGCTAAAAGATAAGAGAGATAAGTGAGAAATTAGTGCTGATAGTAGGCAATAGGATTTACAGTTCCATGCTGTGATTTACCAAATGGTGCTGAGCTTGATTTTTAATGAACTTCCAAACATTTGAGTTAATAATTTTTTTATGTTCAAAGGCATAATTCTACTTTGCAGGAATATGTTCACATTTTTTAAGTTTAAGTAATTAATACAGATTTTGTCAGATAAATTGCTCTTCCAAATTTTGCATTTCATGAGAGACAAAATTTATTGCTAAGAAATATAACAGAAAAACAGAATATTAGAATAAGAGAATTGGAAAGGACCCTGAAGGTCTTCTACTCCAACCTCTTGCTCAAGCAGGAGACCTTAGATCATTTCAGACAAATGCCTGTCCAATTTCTTAAAAACCTCCAGTGTCGGAGCACCCACAACTTCTGAAGGAAAGCCGTTCCACTGATCAATTATTCTAACTGTCAGGAAATTTCCCCTTAGGTTTAGTTGGTTTTCTCCTTGATTAATTTCCAACCATTGCTTTTTGTTCTCCTTTCATGTGCTTTGGAAAATGGCTTGACTCTTTGTGGCTGCCCATTATATCTAATGGATATCATAACAAAACATATTTATTGGAATCCTGTCCCAGAAAACAAGATTAAGAAGTTCCTTTATGGCCTTTGCAGATTAAATCAGCTTACACCAAACATATCTTAGAGAAAGGTAAGTATTCTCATTCTATCATAACCCTGCCTCCAACTTCATTCCATTATTATTATTTTGCAGAAATTCTTTCTTCTCTCTACTGCAGTAAATTGTTTTCTCTACTCAGCCACAAAATGCTGCAAAAAAGGTAATCTTATACTGGATTTGAGAATTTTTTGGATTGAAGATTGGAAAGAGAGCAAAAGGCCTCTGGGGAAAAAATTAGTCCCATATAGCTAAAATAATATCTGTAAAAAAAAAATCAAAATTGCAACAAGGAATATGCACTTTCAGAGGTTACCACCAAGTGTCTAGACGACTAAAAATTATAAAGAGCAATTTAAAATATATATTATATATATAATTCTTCTACTCTAATGGAATAGCTAAATGAAGAACCTGGTATTGTTACTTGTTGCATGCCTACCTGTCAGGTGCAAGAAATCAGGAACCAGAACTGAGTCAAGTCGTACAGGTTTATTTCATTATACCTATAAATAGGAATATGAACTACTAATGGTCAAGGCGAATTGGTACCAGAGAAAAGTCAAGGGAGCAGGACTTAGGTCTTTTATGGGGGTATAGAGACATGAAACTGATGATGCATTTGACCCCACCCTCGGGCTCGGCAAGTAATCTTCTGTAATCTAAACAAAATTATGTTTTGTTCAACCAGAAACTTTCAGATAAATGCAGATGGGACTGGAGTAAAAATACACTGTTAATGAATGTTGTAAAAATTGAAATAAATATGCGATTAAAGCTACATTTCCATTACATTAGGAGGCACCATAATTCACCTGCCAAGGTTGGACTTTCAGAAAATTCCACTTCTCTCCTTTGTCCATTGTCTTCTTCCTGGTTCTGGGTGAATACATGGTATGGAGACCTTGCGCTACAGCATACACAGCATTGTAAATATTGTAGCTCTGACCAGACATCTCCATTTCAAAGACAGTTCCAGGGAGACTCCCCAGATCCTCCTTCCCAGTGCAGCTTCTTTTGCCTTGTGCATATATATTGTACGTTGGAAATGAACAGGTAAATGCAGTACTCCAGAACTGAGGTAGGAAATACATTTTAGAGTGAAATGGATTTAGGTTCTCAAGGAACTCTTGAAAACCTGGTACCATATTTGTGTGAAAGGCAAAAGACAAGCTGCCATTGAAGGACAATGCTGTGAATTTCTGGGGCTCAAAGACAGAAGTGACATCCCACAAAGCACTTATGATCCAAACCCGCTCTAATGGGAGACTGTTACTAATTTCATACCATTCAAGAATTACTCGTAAGCCTTCTATAGATTGCATGTCTCCATAAACAAGTATTACATTGGTTTTACTATACCATAGGAAAAGTGCTATGTTATTTAGATTATTCTTCCGGAAGGTACTGGGTTCATAATTTATCAGTCTTGGAATAAATTGAATGAAAGAAATGCAAATATCTCTCTGAATTAATTTTGGCCTCAGAATTCTGAAAAATCTCTCTCCAGTGGTGTCTTCTGGGATGAGAAGGCCAATCCAGTTCCATCCAAAATGTTTCAAGAGCTGAATAATCCCAACATAGTGAAGGTTTTCATTAGGAGTCATCCAGAAGAAAGAAGGAAACTGCATTTTATCACTCAATGCAAGGTCAAAAGAGCCATAACTGAGCTGCAGAAAAGGAATAATAATGATGTACTTTTAGACTAAATATTGCATCAAAAAATGGAAAAGTAGATTTCTTTGGGACACTGTTTTTCCATAGAAAATCTTGATGGGTGAGACAAATACCAAATCTGGAGCTCAACAAATCTTTCCTCAGAGCTTTTGCAACCAGACCATCATTAGCACTTTTAGAGAAAAATCATTTCAGTCTTTGATTGTGCTAACCAGAAATAGAGAGGAGAGAGGAATGAGTAACAAGAGAGGAGTCTTATTCATTAAGGACCTGACAGTATCTGAGAGCATTCATCTAGCATTTTATATTATAAGGCTAAGATAACTAATGCTTTACTCATAAATGTATTTAACATTGTTGTAGCATTTACAGAAAGAGGAGAAAGTCAAAGAACGTGAGGCACACCCAGAAGATGGAGAGACAATATCAGACATATTATTACAGCATCAATTAACAATGGTTGAGCACACCAGAAGTGCAAGAACCAGAATTTTGTATCTCTCTCAACACCCAAAGAATGAAGAAGAAGAAGAAGAAGAAGAAGAAGAAGAAGAAGAAGAAGAAGAAGAAGAAGAAGAAGAAGAAGAAGAAGAAGAAGAAGAAGAAGAAGAAGAAGAAGAAGAAGACAGAAACAATGATACCTACACCATTTCTTACAAACTAAATATGTTTGTGCTTATTAAGAATTACTGTGGTTGTAATAGTAATTGATACCTTACATTTCTCTGGAAAGATAAATAAATAAATAAAAACTACCCCAAATCAGCTCCCCAATATTGCAGCTGTTTTTGAGGGGATCTCTCCACTTTTAACCACCACTCTTTCCTTTCTTGTGCATTTATGCTAGCCCGGATACCTACCTGTGGAATTTTGTAGGCATTTAATGTGTTGGCCATCTGTATGGTGTTCTGGGAAGGGAGATCACCAATGATAGCCATGATGTTTTGCTCCTCTCCCCTCCTGTAATTGAGGGGACAACGGCCTTCAACAAAGAAAAGAGTCAAAAGGTTCTCAGAGGCTTTCAGTGCTTGAAAACCATTGTCATAGACCTTGGAGACCAAGGTGATGTTGGGTAACAAGTTCTCATTCATGTTGATCTCCTGAATGGCAAATCTGAAGGCTAGGATATGCTGTAGGTTTTTAGGCAACAGCCTGCAAGAAGAGTTTCAGTTAATTCTACAATCTTAGAATGTGACAAGGATTGGATTTAGATAGACATCTTGATAATGCTTTTCTCTTTGCCTAAAATGATGTATTTGTCGGTTTTAATGAGTATTAGAGAAGTGAAGAGTGCACCTATGTTCTGAAGCACTTCTTTGAAAAAGTATAAAACCTTCATTCTTAAATTTCATTAGTTAAGATATTCCAGAGGTGAGGAAAGCATGGAATGAGGAGCTTTGTTGGAATGTCTGAATGTCACTTGAGGATCATGTGGGCATCTGTGCATCATACTTTGAGAAGTTTAAAACAGGGTTTTAATGCAATTAAAAGGATTATTTCTTATGTGTAGCATAGCAATGAAATTGGAGGGCAGAAACTGATGAATTGTGCCAACTGTTAAGACAATCCAAATTCTCAAAATGTACGGTAACATTTGATCACATTCATATATTTAAAAACGACCCACCTTTCTATGCCTTAAAATACTAAGGAGACATACAGCATGATAAATAGAAATCTCAAGCAACCATAATCTATTTAAAATAAAAGTCTTGGTATATAGAAGTGTTTGCAAATAAGGAATAAATGATAAAATCCTAATGATGTCATTATATATTATGAGCTGGCAAAGAGGGAGGAGAGCCAGTGGCTTGGTGGTTAAATCACTGTCTAGTATGTAAACTGCCCAGGTTCAAATCCCATAAAGGGTGTGGCTAACTGAAGAGAGCAGAATGAGCTCGAAATGGCCATCTTAGTCTCCCAATTTAATTCTTTAATTCTTTGTCAGAAAAAGAAATTTGGATTATGAGAATCATAGATATATATTTATAAATTTTATTAAGATATCATGCTAGATATTTTTAACAAGGATTCTTTTTCATTTTGCATACAAAATAAAAAATAGAGGAACAATATTGTTAAAATTAAACTTAGGAGTTTTTTTTATGATCAGATTAATTCTTGTGTAGCAACAGCCACATGAAAAACCAGGAATCTACAAGGCTACATTCAACAGCTATATTCTAGCACCTGACTAAGAGAAATTTATAAATAAGAATCATGCCTAAAGCAGTTTTGATTCTCATCTACAGTGGAAAAATTTTAATGTGAATCTCTTGAATTCAATCACATTAAAAAAAAAACTGAAAGGTTTCTTTCAAAAGAGTACTTGCTTTCCACGCAAGGATCCTTCTGGGTGTTCCACAAAGTGGAGTAAAGGCAATTCAGGATATATAGTAGACACAAATTCTCCAATGATTATATCATTGGAGAGGGCAGGGAAATTAAGCTTAAAATGTCTTTTGTCACCACACATGGGGTTAAATGTCTTGCTGAAAGAAGCCTGGAGGAAAAGGACAGAGAGTAGAAACACATGGCAAAGTATCTGAGTCCTTTTGAATGCCAAAGGAATTTGGCTCCAATCACAGCACTGCAAGCACATCTTCATCACAGCACTTTGCCTGCAACAATGAAAGAGAGTCTCTGTTGGTTTTATGCATAACTAAAGTTGTAGATTACAATAATTATCATCTGAGTGATTCATAATGCAACCTACTGAGCCTCATGAAGTTGTTGTTAATAGTAAAATTAAATTGTTAAGTGTTTAAGTGTTCTGTGCTTTCCCAAAAAACAAGTTTAATTAATTAATTAATTCTGATAATTATGAGGTAGGCAAACTCCTTTCTCAAAGCTATTCAACTATTTTTCCAGTTGAAGAAATTATATGGTCCAAACCCATCTCTTGGCTACCCCTCATCAAGAAAGAAAGAAATGATCTTGGGATCATAACAGATTTGGGGAGCTGAGTCTTGCTTTCCCTATCGAAAGAAAGCAATGCTGGTTAAAAGGAGGAAGAGATAATTTAATAGCCAGATAAATTCTCCCTTCTCCTCTCACAACCTCCTAATTCATAAAAAATACTTATTTCTTCTGCCTATCGCTTTGCTGAAATGGTCATATTGGAAAAAGAAACTCTGTAGTTTTATTAGAACAGAGTTCTAGGGCAATTGGATGAACTGTGGAGAATGGAGACCACTTTGTAGGCACCAGCTACTTAACTCATTAACATTGGTTGTGGATGTTCCCTCCCCCTGGATTCCTGGGCAACTTCCTGTCTCCATTTTTTTCCTGTTCATTGCTGAAAGAGACAGATAGAGCTGCTGACTACTGCTCTATCATGGTGGCTGAACAGTTGTCTGGAAGGCTTTGATCTTGATGCACTTTGAAAGAGGTGGTGAGTTTTGAGAGAGGGATCTCATGCATCGTTGCCTGAAGCAGTGGAAAAGAAGAGGCTTGGTCCTCTATCAAAACTCACCATCCTCTGTGAAGGATGAGGAATGGCAATTCTTCTTTCAGCTTGAAATTAGGTTCACTATGACTAAACCATATTTCAATAGGTCCATCAGGTTGGTCTTATAGTCATTGTTTTTCTAAAGAAAAAAAAAACTTCCTAAAAGGGGAACCAAAGAGGTATATTAGGTAGGCACCTTGCTTTATATTATTCCAAACTCTTACATTGCTTTAATTGAAAAAAGAAACCCAGAAATTTCAGTGGCTTTAAAAAATGGCATATACGTAATAAATCATGCATTAAATACAATAGAAATAATAACATTAAAATAACCCAGCATAGTTTTATCACTCAAAAGCTTAGTGACCATGCAGATATAGTTGTATAATTTTTTGCGTAGCAGCAAAGTGCTAGTTTGACGACTCCCTTCTCTTAGGAATTAGTTTCCATGAATGAATGAAGGAAATGAAGTATATAGTGGTACCTTGGTACTCAGCTGCTTTCAAACTCATCAAATTTGGTAGTCAATACATTTCAACATGAAAAATGAAAATTTTGTGGTGGTATTCATTGTTTGTTTCATGCACAAGCTTGAACTTCTAAGCATTGGCTGCCATTATTCCTTATGAGAAAACATTATTTGGTACACTTCATTTTTAGTCCTCATCATGCTTCCCTGAACAAATTAACAATGAGTACTAGGGTACCACTGTATTTGCCAGTTGTTAGTTTGATTTTTTTTGAAGAAGTATAAAGAATAATTATCTCTTCTTCTGTTCTTTTCATTTTTGGAGAATGCAACTATACTGACACATATTTCCACTTTGTCACTTAAACACTCATTTTGTCTTTAACATGTTAGAATGGAAGATTTCAGCATCTTACCAAAAGATAAAGTAGAAGTACAGGAGAGATGTAAAGATGTTCTACAATTTGGCCACAACTAAATAGCTAATGTCATTGAGGGGTGGGGTGAAGAGGTAGAGCTCTCTTCTCATAATCAGGAGGCTGTGGGTTTGATCCTATGTGTAGTGGCAGATATTTCTCTCTCTGAGAGAATGAGTAATTGTCTGCTGAGAACTCTGCATAGACATCAGGAAGGGCATCTGGCCAGTAAACACTTGAGCTCCATTCAGTTGCCCCAACTCCACCCTGATGCAAGGGATTGCAAGATTGTTAAAAGAAAAAATTAGCTAA